ATGGAATGCACAGGGAGCAAGGATGTGCCAGGAAAGATGAGCTCATTGTAAAAATAATTGAATGAGATTTTAAAGGAATCAATACAAAGCCCTGGCTGGATTCAGATGTACAAATGCCAGCAGCAAGGCACCTCCCCACAACCCAAGGGCTTTCCTGTATGCTCCTTTTTATCAATTTGTCCTTGATTTTATTCCTTTTTTGTCTCTTTGTGCCACCCACCAGACCTTGCACTGAGTATCCTGGAGTGTGTCGTACTCCACAAGCAAAAGAGCTTCGGGCACAGAGCAGCAGGGATGATGCAGAGAAGCTACAGGCAGTGGAAACAGGGACAGGGAATCACAGAAATATTTATTTTGGCCAAGGAAGAAGTGACCTCCGGAGCAAACCCCAGCTCCCACAGATATTCCTCACTGCCAGCTCGGATGACGCAGTCCAGAGCCGGGAGCTGCATGCCTGAACCTCCCATGCACACGTTCCTGGCTCGCTGGAGGCTCTGCACTCCATGGATTACTTTCTCCAACACACCCCATTCCCAGATTCTGTTGGGCCAGATCACCACAGTTGGAGAAACTGTCTTTTTTTCAGTGTTTGCCAGTAAAACCCTTCTGCTTCTTCAGGGCAACCCATCCTGACCCTCACTGCTGCAAGTCAGGGACTTGCTCTGGTCTGTCTTCCCATGGCCATCCCATCATACTAGCAGAGCCCTTTCCAAAGGCATTGATGCTGGCCCACAGCATCCTTCTGGAGCACAGGCTCATCAATGACACAAGCTTGTGACAGACCCCTCTCATGGTGGCCATCACGTCATATCACCAGCTCATCCCCCTGACACCATCCGGCTCATCCCAGCACCACCCAAATTCAGGCTGCATGGGAACACCTTTGCTTGGTTCTGATGCACATCCCACTGGCATGAGGAGGGACAAGGTCTCCTCAGAGCACAGCAGTGGGAATTCATCCCTTGTCATGATTTGTAAGTTTTCCTCTGCCCATTCCCTGGTTGCAGGCCTTGGACACACCAGTTATTGCCATTCCCTGAAACAAGACATTCCCTGACCTCCTTTTCCCTCATCACTAATTCACACCGAGCAGGTTTCAGCTCAGCTCATGCATGAACTCCACGCTGGCACCACTTAATGGCTAAAGAACGAATTCTGACAAAGCTCATTAAAAAGGAAAGCCACTGATGTCAGCAACATGCCTTAAATCTGACCCTCGGCTCCAGGCAGGTCTGCCAAGAAATCAAGTCATCCTGCTGGAAATATAAAGGGAGAGCAGAAAATGATCAGCACGGTTTGGAAGGAACCTCATTTGTTTTTTACCGACGTGAAGCAGATCCAAGACACAGGTGAGTGACACCAACCAATTTGACTGTTCAAACAATTAAAACCCACCTTACAGATTTACAAATGGGCTCCCAAGGCAATTCCAGATGCACTGATGGGCCAGCTTTAGGGAATTTATGCACAGCTCACCTCAAAACACAGGGAGCCAAAATCCCAGGAATGCTCCTGGTGCTGTTTTGGTTGTAACAGACACAGACATGTCAGCACAGGAAGACCGAGCTGGCAGAAGGGCTGGAACTGAGGTATGAAAACAAAATTCTCTGGCAGGGTTCATTTTTGTTTTTTCCTTAGGAAAACAAGATCCTCACATTAAAAGGAGGATCAGTCACAGAAGGGGGATGAAAAGGCACTGTTGAAAACTTAATTACATCCCCAGATACATGTCCAGCCCTAGAAAGTTCCGAATGACACATTTCTAACAATGTTTTTAAATAACTACAGGGTATTAATTACAGTAAAATCTACCAACTCTTTTCCCTCTTTGTCTGGAAACCTTTGGAAGCGTTTTCCATTAGGCAACACTTTTAAGCAGAGCCAGCTGTGCAGCACTTCTGCAGGTACTGTGTGTGTGATGTGAAGCCCATGACACACCCCGGTGCTGCCTGCACTCCGCTGCAGGGAGGCACACATGCAGTACTGCCTGGGGGGACAGACACAGGGAAAGGCTGCATCCATCCCAGTGCTTCCCTAGTGCAACCCCCTCTGCAGCTGCGCTCTCTCCCTTATCTGAATGGCCACAGAGCCACTGAGCTGGTGAACTCACTCCTGGCACTTTCTCACACACAGGCAGGGCCAGGGCTGCGGCCAAGGAAGAGCCTGGAGCAAATGTCAGAGGCACGGCCTGTCCTGCAGGAGCCCCCTTGCCTCCATGGCCCGAACATCTGGGCAGCACCTCTGCTGCCAGCCCTGTGCTCAAGCAGGCTGTGACCGAGTGATCTCACCTTGGCCTCGCCTCTCTCCCATCTAGGAGCTTCTGTCCTGGTGGCAGGCAGCTCTGAGAGGCTAAAGCCCCCTGCCCAGCCCACCAGTGTCACCAGCTCCAGGCACAGAGGGGCTCTGAGTCTCTATTCCCCTAGCTGGGGAAAAATTGATCACTTCTTTCCACAGTTTGTCCTCATGGAAAGTATTTTTAGGAGCTACACAGTCCACATTTAATCACAGTAATTAAGGAGACGCTCAATTATTGTTTGCAAGCTTCTAAAACAGAGAGGTGGCAGACTGCATCTGTTTTGCATCTAGAATTTGGGACAGTCAACCCCAGAACACAGCGTGACAGAGTAAAGCTGTTTGGAGGTGTCCATCCTTCATCAGACTGGCTGTGGCAAAAAGAAACTGTCAAAAAATACGGTGCAACAGCTTTTCTCACTGCCAAAATCCTGGGCAGGGCGATAAAACCTGGGGAGAGCAGGAAGGCCCCGAGGCACAGAGAGAATGGAGCGGTGCAGGACCTTGCAGGGCAGGGGAAGAGAGAGCCAGGAGCACTGCGGGCAGTGTGGCCAGGTGACAGTGACAAGGGACAGGACAGGCAGGACCTGAGTCCAAACAAGTGGATTTTGCTCTGTGAAATACCTGCCTTCCTGGGGGCATGGGAGCTCAGGGGCAGCCCAGAATATCCCACAGCAGCTCCGAGCAGGGAACAGCCTCACGTGGCCAAAAATGGCAAATAAAGAACCTGCTGGCCTCTGCTGGCCCTGGCACTGCACAAACAGTGACCCCCCAGCCTGGCTGTCAGACCCAGCCTCATGTGGCAGCTCTGCCACCCCAAATCTGTGGTACAAGGGCATGTCTTGATGCCAAACCCCAGGCAGAGCAGGAATGATGAGCCCATTGCTCCCAGCAGGGGTCTTGGTGTTCTCTCCTCTGCACTCAGGGGACACTAAGGCACAGAGCCAGCAACATGATGGGTGCTCCCAGGGTTTGGCACTGAGACAGGGGCTACTTCTTGAGGGCAATGTCCCTCTTTGGCCTCCAGCCTCATGGCTTGTCAGGACACCTCTCAGGGCGCCCAGCACCCTCCCTGGTGGGCTCATGGGCACAGACCCCTAAACCAGCAGTGCCAAAGCACTGGAGAGCTGTAAGCAGCACCAGACACCTTGTGCTTCACATACTCTCTTCCTCAGCACAGATGGGGACACGGAATGACACGCAATAAAAAATAAAAACCCTTCCCAGGGAGATGCAAAAATAATACTATGTACATTCCAGCTTCCCAAACAACAATCGCCTGAGAAGCCGGCACTGTGGGAAAGTCTCAGTTCGCTTTTCCTGGGCATTATAAATAGAATCAGGGCTTCAAGCAGGGCTGGAAATGCGAAGGAAGGGGGAAAAGGCCATTTAATGGGCTCTGTTTGAACTTGGGCCCTGGCTGATGTCCAGCTTTCTGCAGAACATCTGGTCCTTTCCTGCCGAGCAAGGGGCAGCGCCACTGCACTGGGAACAGGGAAGCGCCAGCCCAGGGATGCTGTCAGACCCCAGAGCCCCTGGGCCTACTGGGGCATTGCACCTCAGGCTGCTAAATGTGCCACTGGGGAGCTGCCTCTGCCATGCCCAGGTGTGAGACCAGGTGAGAGTCTGCAGGACTCCAACCCTGGGGGCTGGGCTGGCATCCACAGGGACTCCAGAGCTTCTCTTCCACAGGGCTGCTCAGTTCCTGACCCCATGGGAAGGCTCAGCACCCACCAAGCTCTCTTGCAGGACTGAAGCCCACAAGTTCTTCCATCTGCCTGGTTCTCCAGGAGCCTCATCTTTGGCTGTGTGACTTCTTTTCTCTCATGGACACATTGCTCACCAAAAGCCCCTGCAGAACCCTGTCATGGGCAGCTCCACATTCTGTTATCCATGTGTTCATTCTTTACGCTGGCTCCTACTTACCTATTGTATCCCAGGCCACATTTTATCACCAGCAACATACTTTAAGCAGGATATAGAGTCATCATGTCAGGAGATGGTTTGGGTTGGAAAGGACCTTATATCTCATCTGGTTGCAATCCGTCTGCCATGGGCAGGGACACCTTCCACTATCCCAGGTGGATCCAAGCCCTGTCCAGCCTGGCATTGGACACTTCAATGGATGGGGTAGCCACAGCTTCTCTGGGCAACCTGGGTGCCAGGGCCTGCCCACCCTCACAGGGAGGAATCTCTTTGCTCTGCACCAGTGGCTTCTTCTGTGTGGCTCCACTACCCATTCCTCGGCCCTGTTCCCCAACCTCTCCTCCTGCCACCTCTGCCCCTGCTCCTGCCTGGGCCTCGTCACTGCGTGAGACCTGCCCCACAGCGGTGCTGGGGAGAACCGGGAGCCCGAGAACGGGAACCTGAGGGCAGGACTGGGAACCCCTGGGGAGAACCGGGACCCAGGAGATAAACGGGACCCCGAGGACAGCGGGGAGCCTGAGGGGAAAACCGGGATCCTGTGGATGACCAGGAGCCTGGGGAGATCTGGGACCCTGGGGAGAGCCGGGACCCTGTGGATGAGCGGGACCCTGGGGAGATCCGGGCCCCCGTGGATGAGCGGGAGCCGGAGGGCAGAGCCGGGCCCCCGTGGATGAGCGGGAGCCGGAGGGCAGAGCCGGGCCCCCGTGGATGAGCGGGAGCCGGAGGGCAGAGCCGGGCCCCCGTGGGCCAGGGGCGCGGGCGCGGGGGGCGTGTCGGCGCGCGGGCCCGCGGGGTCAGTCGGAGCGCGGCGCCGAGCGGAGCGGAGCGGAGCAGGGGACACAGCCGGGGACAGCCGGGCAGCAGCGCCAGCAGCGCCGACAGCGACCGCAGCCGCACCGGGGCGAGCGCACGATGATAAACACCCAGGACAGGTGTGCAGCGCGTTCCCCGCCCTCCCTCGCTCCTCAGCGCGGCGGCGGGCGGGCCTGGGGCGCGGGCGGGCGCTGAGGCGGCGGGGAGGCCGCGGGACGTGGGGAGGCCGCTCCGCCTTTCCCCGTTTAAAATCCCCATCGAGGCGATGCCTCCCCCTGGAGGATCCCCCCGGGGGTGGGTCGGGGCTCGCCAGGGCCTGAGCCCCTCTCGCTGAGCAGCCCAGGCCGCGGCGGGGTCCGAGCGCTCCTTCCCCGCGCCCCCCGCACCTCTCTGCCTGCAGGAAGGTGACACTTCCAGGCAGGTTGGGTGTCAGCAGGCACGAACTTGCAGGATCTGTGTGTTTTTCTCAGCTGGCCGATTTATCTTGTGTGTCTGTTCCTTGTTTGGAGTCCCCAGAGTGTCATTTCCTGCGGCTCTGTCGCCGATAAGAGCCCAGAGGATGCGTGTGGAGCAGCCTCGGCTCTTGCCCGCTGCCTGTGTGGGAGATGCTTGAGCTGTGCTGTGTTCATCAGATGGTTATTTACAATTTACTCCTCAAATCGGGCTCCTGGATATGTGTCCAGCAATAATAACAGTAATAATAATAATTTTTACTATTACTGTTGTTATTAGTAGTATTATTACTATTCAGGTGCAGCTGCAGAGCTGTTTTGGGAGCTATTCAGCTCCAGAGCCTGTTTTGGGAAGGGGCAGAAAGGAAAACAAACAAAACAGCCACTTCTCCAACGTCAGGAGAGCTCTGTGGATCCTTCCATCTGGTCTAAGTGTTCAAAACAAATAAAACCCCCAAAGCACAAGGAAATGTGCGGATTTCAGCCCCTGATGTGCTGGTGGTGCTCTCAGCCTGGCTCTGTGTGCCAGGGCTGCCTAGGAGCAGCGATGATGGGGCTCTGAAGTTGTTGAGCTGCCCTTTGCACTTCCCAGGGACAGGGCACGGGGTTGGGATCGCTGGGAGCTTAGTGAGTTAAAATTACACCCGCGGGATGAGAGCTTAACATCGGCTTCCAGCTCCCCTTTCGGGCAGGGCACCAATGAGCAGCTTGTACTGAGGAGTTTCTCCAGGGAAAGGCCGTGGTGATCTAAATGCATCTTAATTTCAACCAAGCTGCAGGAAAGCAGCTTCTCCAAGGAGGACAGACGTCAGAAGGGAGCACAAGCCTAACTTTTAAGCTACAAACAGACCTCAGGGAGGGCTGCCGTTTGCACAAGGATGGATGAAGGGATCAGATGTTGCTGGGTGTTTGCATGAATTTCTTCCCAGGGAGCTGTAGCACAGCTGGAGAAAGCAAAAGCCCTTTTTATGTGTGTCCCACACACACTCTCTTCCCTGAGGGTGCTGCTTTCAGAACCCCAGTCCTTAGTGGGGGTAGTGGTGGTGTGCAGGGACCCTGGTTTTGGGGGGAGGATAGTGGAGGTGTGCAGATTTGGGCCAGGGATGTGCAGGCAGCAGCTGAGGGGGGCTGGTGTTTTGACTTCTGCATGTGCCAGAGGAAGTGAAACCGGGAAGTGTCTTTGGCTGCCTCTCTGTTTTAATTTTTTTTTTTTTTTTTCCCACAACTCCACTTCATTATCCAGTTTCTCGATGCCTTGGCCGCAAGTTGGAAAGAGCTATCAATAGTACATTGTTGGCTGGAGGGTAGAGGGAGGAGGGAAGGGAATAACAAAGCTGCCAACAGCTTTCGGGGGTGGGGACGGCACAAAGTGCTTTGTCATCCTCTCGACATCCTCTACTACTGAACACACACTGGCCCATTGATAGCCCCAGGCACACCAGGGAGCACAGAACGCCCTGCTTTGCCCCCAGACATCTCCTGGTGTATTTAAACTGCCTTTTCTCCAAGAGGTGCCTGCTCTAGGACATGGGAATGCTGCTCTAGTGCCCTGTCTAGCAAACCTGGGGGAGGGAATATGTGGAGGAAGAATATTGGTGTTTCCTGCAGAAAGATGGTTTTGGTGGTAGGTGGTAAGCAGGGATCTGTGGTGAATTCTGCCTTGTGCCTTTGTGAGTTATGTTTCTGGCACTCAGAAATGCCAGCTTGTAGTAGTTTGTTTGCAACTGGCACAGGCAAGTTACAAGGCTGGGTTGGATGGGGCTTGGAGCAGCCTGGTGTGGTGGAAGGTGTCCCTGCCTAAGGCAAGGGGTCTGGATGGGGCTTTAAGGTCCCGCCCAGCCCAGCCCAGTCTGATTCCCTGTTCCTAGGCATCTGAGATGGTTCTGACAGCGCAGCTCTGTACTTGGTGTTTGGATACTTAAGCCTGTCTGCCTCGTGGACAGGGATTAGAGTGGAAAAACACTGCATTGGGAACCGCTTCAAGTGAGAAGTTACAGGGCAGACAGTGGCTGTCAGAACAGCTGCAGAATTTATCCACTTCAGCCTCATTCCTCGCTCTGTGCTCATGAAACCCCCCCTCACTGTGTTGTTTTGGTGGTGCTTCCACAGCTTTGTGCTGGTGTGTTTCAGACTGGCAGCACTGGAGAAGGACTGTTTTCCCTGCATGGCTTTTGCAGCCTGTGCTAGAGGAACATTGCTGGGCCTCAGCACAGAGCTCTTGTGGTGCTGAGAGAGGAACCAAGGCTCCAGAAGTAAAATAATTTGCTTTGATGAGCTTCCTAAAAGCCAGAGCAGGTATTAAAGCCTGTGTCCAAAGCGATTCTGGAGGACCGTGTGTAGGACTTCCAAACAAACTCGGAAACTGCAAGGGCAATGTGTTTTCTTGCTGTTCAAAGTAGCTCTGTGGGATGAACTTGTAATTTTTAGGATTGGGGTGGAGGATGCTTGCATGGCGCTTCATGTGCGTGTGAAAATACTGCCATGGATGTTGTGGAGCATATTGAAGAACCAACCTTTTCACTTCTCCTGGGTTTGAAAATGTGAAACTTAAACCTTCTCCTCCTGGGCCCTGTTGATCTATTTGTAGATATTTGCCTCTAGAAAATGTGTGCTCATCTGGTCATGTGTTCCCAGCCATCTGCTCCTGGCAGCCTTCCAGGCCTCCCTTATTAGCATGAGGTTGCTCAGCACTCTCTGGCTCTAGCCCCTCCTCCATTCCCAACAAAATACTCCGGGTTCTGGTGCCACTGGGGCAGTGGGTGGGTTTCTGTGTTGACCTCTGGGTGCTGTGGAGGAGCAAGGATACAAATGATTTGTGGGTTTGAGAAGCTGGAGCCTCCCAAACGTAATCCCTGCTAATGTAACACGGTGTTCTCTCTCTTTTTCTTGCAGTAGTATTTTACCTTTGAGTAACTGTCCCCAGCTGCAGTGCTGCAGGCACATCGTTCCAGGGCCTCTGTGGTGCTCCTGATGCCCCTCACCCACTGTCGAAGATCCCCGGTGGGCGAGGGGGTGGCAGGGATCCTTCTCTTTCAGCTCTGATATATAAGGTGAGACACATTTAACATCTAAACCTTGACCTGTACCTGTGTTACAGCTGTGCTCAGTTCCTTTCACAGTCTGATGGGAATAAATGCAAAGAACTCTGAGATAATAAGTGGGAGAACAGGTAATTTTTCAGGGACTGAGCTGCAGACAGGTCTCTGCTGCTTAAATATCACCTGTTTATTAAGAAATGAGAGACCATTGTGCAGCAGATCATTCACTAGCCTGTCCCCAGGGGCCTGCTGCAGCTATTGTACATGGAGCCTGCATTATCAAAATGTGAAAGGGCTTCTGAAATGGCTGGCAGAGAAAGGAAGCGAGAAGCAGAAAGGTGAAATGCAGCAAGGGAGGGGTTGATAAGCTCCTTCCTGCACCCTGGTCTGGAAGGTGAAGCTGTCAGGGCCTGGGAGCTGCCTAAACTGAGGTGCAGCTGGGAGAGCAGCTCCCAGACAGGGCTGTTTCTAGAACATGAGCACAGGCAGGGGCAAGATCAGCAAGGGTTTGTGTCTGCAGGCTTGCAGCTGTCTCATTTTGTGTTCCTCTTCATTCCATGGGACCTTTCCTTTCGAATGAGGAGACCTGGCTGCTCCTTCCTGTAGAATAATTTGTGTGACTTGGCTCAGATCTGTCTCCTTTCTGGGACAAGGGCTGCTTTTCCTTTTAGATGAGGCAGACTGAATTTATGCTGACCTTGCAAATTTGGCTGTTGAGCCAGGGGTGTTGTCATAGGTGTTAGACCTGATTTTTAATTAACCCGTGGGCGGCCCACAGACGTCACATGATGAAAAGATACAGACCCTTTCAGGCCACAGCTCCCAAGTCTCCTCTTGGAGTTCCTGAGAGAATCACAGACCTCGTGGTTGCTTTCAGAGTTTCCTCTGGTGAGTTTTCAGCACTTTCCTCACCTGCTTCCCTTGCAAAATGCCAACCTATGAGCCTCCAGTGACAATGTCCCATCAGTGTAATGCTTGAGGTGAATGTCACAGATGTTTGGGGGATACAAACTCCAGAGAAGCAGCACAGTGGGCTTCCTGACACAGAAGAAAGATACAAAAATAGCTTCAAGAGGGCTGAGGACAAGTAATGAATCCCCTCTGGGTGGAAATGAGACCCTGTAGCCTGAATTCCTGCCAGCCAGCTTTGCCAAGCCTTGTGTGTGCACCAGGCAAGGCCCAGAGGCAGAAAATGGGCTCAGCGTAGAGGAGGAAGGTGGAAAGAATCATGATTTGGAGACTTTGGAGTGTTTGATTTCAGTTCTGCCCTGAACTTGCACAGATTTTGGCAGTGGTGTGTAGGCAGGGGAGAGATCATCCAGATAGCAGCATCCTAGAAATATGGATGGAATTCCTCCTGGATTTATTGCTTGACAAAACTAGCAGAATCTGTCAGAAAATCAGCCCCTTTTGTAACAAAGAATCATGGAATAGTTTGGATGGAAAAACCCTCTAAGGTCATTGAGTCCAGCTGATCCACCAGCACTGCTCATGTTCACCACTAATCCATGTCCCCAAGGGCCAAATCCACAGGGCTTTTAAACCCCTCCAGTGATGGTGACTCCACTTCTCTGGGCAGCCTCTGCTAGGGCTGGACAGTCCTTTTGGTGAAACATTTTCCTGAATACCCAACCTGCTCTGGCCTGGAAATGGTTGAGGTGATTTCCTCTCATCCCATTCCTTGTTCCCTGGGAGCAGAGCACGGCTCCCACCTGGCTGCACCCTCCTGTCAAGGAGTTGTAGAGAGCAAGAAAGTCCCCCATGAACCTCCTTTTCTCCAGGCTGTCCCCCCAACTGCTCCTCATCAGATTTGTGCTCCAGCCCCTCATTGTCTGTCCTGGAATGAGGGGCCCAGAAGTGACCCCAGGATTTGAGGTGTGTCAGACCTTGGAGTGGTGACAGGGTTCTGTCTGCCCTCTCAGTGGCCTGGCAGTATTGTAGGTACAGCAACTGAGCTTTCCAGCCAGCAGCCACCAGCATGACCTGGGAAGGCATCTGGATCTGAAAGTCTAAGTCCTTTTTCCAGCTGTATCAGCTGTTCCACTCCAAGGGATGACCTTTCTGAACACACCTGCCTCTGCTGGTGCATGCAGCACTCAGAGACCACTGCCATAAACTGGGGCTCCCTGTAAGTGTTGGAATTTTTGTGTTAAGAGACTTTAAGCTCAGCCCTCCATCCAGGGGGCTTTGCTGGAGCTGGGAATGCCACAGTGACCGGTGTGGGTGCTGCAGAGCTGAGATGTGCCCTGGCTGGCAGAGCTGGCAGGAAGCTGCGGGTGTAGCACATGGCAGCAGCGGGTGCTTCCACAGCTTTCTGCAGCCACTTGGTAAGAACCGGTTGCAACACCCTTCCTTCTGACCCTGCCAGCACACCAGGGCCTCCCCCCGTCCTTCCTGGGACATCTGAGGAGCAGAGCAGGGCTGGGAAGTCTTGTGCTCAGTGAATTGGAACCAAGTGGAAGTTGGTCCTTGCAGCTTTGCATTGCTGAAATGGAGCTGGAGGGCTGGGGAGCCAGGGTTTAGGCAGCTGGGTAAAATCCAGCCTGGTGGCAGGGGGTTTTGTCCACAGGAACATGGCAGGGGGATTTTGTGTGGGGATTTTTCCAGGGTGAACTAAAACCGAGCGCTTGTTGTATAAACAGGATTTTGCTTTGAGCAGCTTCCAAAGAATTTTGGGCTGCTGTTGCTGCGTCACAGGAGCAGCCCACAGAGCCTTTCTCTTCCCCAGCATCTGTTTGGATGCCTAGAAATAAAGTGTCAGCTCTCCCAGCCAGGCTGTGTAAACGTAATTCCCACTGAACCGGGGGAACTGGTTCTGCTGATCCCTGTGGTCGTGCTCCTCTGGCTCCTGGGCTGTCACAGGGGGGTTCAGTGGAACAATCTCACTGGGTTTAGAGCACTGGACATAACTGCTGGTGACAAGGGAAGTTCTGAACCCAATGGCTCAGAATGCTTTTCCTTTCCTATGGCAGTGCCAGTCTTCCCACTCAAAGGCACAACCTCCCGTGTGTCAATCCCAGCCTGCTTTCCTTACCTTCCTCACCCTGTTTTAGTTTTGTGGGCATGGGAAAAGCATGATCTGTGAGCTTTTCTGGAGAGAAGGATGTTTTCTGGAACAGAAACACTTTCTGCACTGAAACAACAGCTGTAAAGGGTCCTGTGAAGTCACTGCTGGAGGATATACACACAAGCCCCTTGGATTTGTTTTTTTTTTAAGAACCTCTGTATTCAGCCCTGCCTCTCTCTGCTGGCTCCATCACAGCCACAGCTTGACCTGACTGGAACAGCTCTCAGTGCATTTCTTGGTGCACTCAGCCACTCAGACTTCCTTCAAACTCAATGAATAAACTTGTTTCCTACAGGATATTTATTCTGGTGAAGTGTAAACTTGTTTTTCAGCTCAGCTTTGTGAGCTTTCAATGAAAGGCAACTTCCTCTGCTCGGCTTTCAGAGGCCAAGCAGCTCCCAGTTTGCACATGGTATTACTTTGTCACCAGTGTGAATGTCCTCAGAGGCTTCTCTGTCATACAGCAGTCAAACCAAGGGACATCTATTTTAAGACAGGAGGTAATAGGAATTAAAGCACTGGGACAGTGGCTTGAGGAGCCTGTAAGGGCTTGTAAGGAGCTGCTGAATTAATCACCCTGTTAAAATAAAATATCCGGAGGCTGGACAGTGCTCACCCAATGACCCAGAGGAGTGAGCCAGTGCCCACCCACCTGCTGAGCATGGCTCTCCAGGTGCTCTCATGACTTTGGGTATCTGCTTTGCTTCTGCCCTTCAAAGCTGCCCGGGTGCCTGTGAGGGACAGGGACACACGAGCTGTCACCAAGCACAGGGGACAGTTCAGCTCCACTGCAGTAACAGCATTAACTTGGGGCTCTGCTTCTTTTGCTGGGGCTCTTTGCACTGAAACTTGGAAACCATTACTGGGCAAGCCAAGTGCCTGCAGGAATTGTCTGAAGGAACGGGGCTTTAACCACTGAATTGTTTTCTAGGAACTGCTGAGCTGATCCCAAGTAATCTGCATGCTTGGCATCCTCATGGGGCAGGACTGGGGAAAGACATGTGTGTTTGTGGTCTCTGGAGAAGACCTCCTCACAAGCTTCAGATCTGCTCTGGAATTTCCCTATGCTCTGTGTTTTCCTCCCTTACACCAGGAGGCAAACCATAAAATCTGGGAAAGCAATTTGTGGTCACTCTTGGAACAGAAAGGCTGTGTTGGGGATGGGGGAGGCACCAAACCTGGCTGGGCTGTGGTAGCAGAAGTTCTGTGTTGGGTATTGGGTCCAGTTGTGTTCTTGGAAGGGCAGTTCATGAAGCACCACCAGATGTGGCTGGAGCCTGCAGTGAGGGAATGGAATCTTCTGCTCAGAAATACACATTTATATATTATGTCAATATGTAAAACTACATTCCCTTAACAGGAAAACATGGGTAGAAATCACTCTGAGGACTGAGAACTGTGTGATGTGTCCCTGAGCCAGTAAAAGGAGAAGGGAAAAGCATAATCCTCTTCTCAGTAAAACCCTAAGACCATTCCTTTGCATTTGCTTTCTCCAGTTGTCCTCTGCCTGTTCAGGAACTTTACATTTTTCATTTTCCCAGGATGAGAAGATCACTGTTAGCCAAGATGTCCCAGTGCATGAAGGGAAGCCTCATATTGTCCACTTCCAGTACAAGGTCACAGAGGTGAAGACCTCCTCCTGGGATGCAGTGCTCTCAAACCAGAGCCTCTTTGTGGAAATCCCTGATGGATTATTAGCTGATGGCAGCAAAGAAGGGTAAGTTCTGGATCCCAAGGTGCAGCCATGGCTCCTGGAGGGCAGGACTTGGGTTACATAAGTGATTGTGGATGGACACCTCATCCCTGGAAGTGTTCCAGGCCAGACTGAATGGGGCTTGAAGCAACATGGTCTAGTGGAAAGTGTCCCGCCCATGGCAGGAGTTGGAATGAGATGAGTTTTAAGGTTCCTTCCAAACCAAGCCAACCTGGGATTCCATGCTGTGTGTGGGGAAAATGGGGAATGCAGTAGCAGCTCTGATTGTGGTTTGTGCACATTCTGCTCCCTGGTCTGTGCAGTCCCCCACAGAAATATTTTTCACCAGTGATATTCCAGATGAGTTACCATTTTATGAGTCCCAGCACTAATGAAAAACAAGCAATAAATGAGCAGAGTGAATCTTCGTCTACTTTGGTACAGAAAGCCAACAAGATTGTCTCTGATATTTTATTATTTTTTAATTTTATTTTTCTGCTGGCCACTTGGCAAGCCTATCCTGGCAGATTTTCCTCTCTTTCAGGGAACTAAAAACCCCTCCATCCTATTGATGCTCTCCTTCTCAGTAGGTGGATCTGCTCTTGGAGCGCTGCCGCGCTGGTGCTGGGTTCTGCCAGGAGCTCTGATTTTTCTCTTGGCAGAATCCGGTCATGTTTTGTCCAGACAGCTCTGCTATGGGAAGTTTGTGTAAATGCAGCTTCCAGAGCAGCTCCTTCCTGCCAAGTGCTGTGCCAGAGGTCTCTGCTGCAGTGTAGATGTGGCTTTGCTGGATTCCTTTGCGGAGCAATCAGCTCCTCCTAAATCTCCAAGCAGGCTTCATCCCTCAGTGACACGAGCTAATTAAGGAAAAACCCATCACTGGGCACCTCCAGGAAGTGGCAGTGTTGTTGCTGTCTCACACGTGTCTCATTTGACTCCAAGTCCAGATAAATGTTTGTGTAGTTTCTCCAGTTGGCCCGTAAATCTCTGAGCTCTCCCCGGAATGGGTCCTTCTGGGAGGGGATTTATTTGCCAGTGTCATTGTGACTTAAAGCGCAATTTTGTCAGGTTATTTTTAGCTGGGTGAAACAGCCGAGGAGAGGCCAGAAGCCATAATTAAAGTAGTTCATTAACATATTAACAGAACCCTTGCAAATTTAATCTCCTGTGCTGCTCTGACAGCTGGTTACTGAGATGTGGAGTGAAGGCCTGTTTGTCACCGCTCTGGCAGCGCCAGCGGTTGTAAGTGACAGCAGTTGATCGGTGTGCCACCCTGGAGGCTCACAGAGGGGTTACTGCAGCCCTGCTTCCATCAGGAGGTGGCAGAAATAATCCAGCTGGAAAGGCAGGAAGCAAGGATTCAGGGGGCAGCAGCTGTGCCATCCAGCTCAGGAAATGGCTTTGCCTGTGCACATGTTCTCTGGGGATGGTTTGTTCTCCTTTTCTGCCTGCCATGAGCTCGGTTCTGGGCGGTTTTCCTTCCCAAAAAGCACAGAACTCCCAGAGCCCCCACGTGCATTGCCAGGGAATGCAGCCTGGCCTGGGAGCAGCTGTGATATTCCGCTTCCTGACTACGAAGGCTTCAGTCCCAAAGCACCACGGGTGGGGAGGGTGTTTGTGGCTGTGAGGACAGGAACTTGTCCTGACTCGGAGCAAAGACAGCTCTTGAATCTGCAGGGCAGGAAGCCCATTGTTTCAGCACCCATTGTTCGCTGGAAGGGCGCTGTAAACAATCTTTGTGTCTGAAATCATCCAAACCGTTGATAATTCGATAATGCTCAGAGGCTTCCTCAGGACAGGACTTCCCAGAGCTGATGTCCTTTTGTCTTCTCCCTCCTTGGCAGGTTGTCAGCACTGCTGGAGTTTGCTGAAGAAAAAATGAAAGTCAACTATGTCTTCATCTGCTTCAGAAAAAGCAGAGAAGATCGAGGTGAGGGCTGGCCCGCGCTCGGGTTCACTCCTGACATCCCACACGGTGCTGCTGAAGCTGTAAAGGAACTTGGTCATCCCAGGGCAAGACCCATGGGACCCTCGCTGTGCAGGGACTGTTATGTGCATAATTCCTACAGGAATAGTTTTGTGTGGAGGGTAAGGGTGAGGGAGTGTTGTGGTTTCTCCAGCAGATCTGCTGGATAGGGCTTGGAGCAACCTAGTCCAGTGGAAGTTGTCCCGGCCTGTGGCAGCTCAATGAGCTTTAAGATCCCTTCCAGCCCAAACCAGTCTGGGATTCCATTCATCTGCTTTGCTGCCATGCCATTAAATACTCTGGTGCAAAATGCTGCTCCTGAATGATTTGGGGTGATTTTCTCATCCAGTGTCAGTTAATATTCTCCTTTTAGTGAGCAGTGAAGTCTCTGGCACCAGGCTGCTGTGACATGGAAGGTGAAACCAGGGAGGAGTTATTAGATAGAAAACAAGCACTTAGAGCCTGTTGCCCTGAAATTCATCAGCTTTTTAAGTATCTCCTGGCACTTCTGTCCTTTCCAGGCTTACAGGTAATCCTGGCCCTGGCTCGAGATGCTTATGGCTTTGGGGGCTGCATTAGGGTCTAAAGATAGACGTGCTGGTGAGGGATTACAGCCCGGGGGGCTGGGGGATGTACCAGGCTGGGAACGTGTCACTCTAAATCCCACCAGAGTCAGGCTGTATCCTAGCAAGTAATTCCAACCCCAATTCTAATTTTACTTTGCAGCTTCATGAGCTGCCCTGGCTTCTCCAAAATTAAGGGCCTTAGTAAAGCTGAGCTGAGCCCAGGAAGATGTCATCATCCCTCATTACCATGCCAGGAATAATTTCCAAATCAAGCCCTGGCTGTTATGTCACCAGTAGCACCGGTTGCGTAGGTGGCCCCCGTGGAGGCTGGGCACAGGGGACAGCCAATACCAGGGGTTGTTTGTAGGAGTTTGGAGTGGTCCAGATCCTGAGTCCTTGTCTATGCAGCTGAAATTCACTTCTGCCAGAAAATATCTTCAGGAGCAAATCTGCATGATCACTCAGTCCTGGAGCTGATCGCCTGAGGGTGCCATAGGGGTGGGACGCTGCACCAGTGTGCGTGTCACAGGTCACAGGGCAGCCATTGCTTCAGTGACACAGGCATGGTGCCACAGAACTGTATCTGGGCTGGCCCCACTTTGAATTCCCACAGGTAACCATAAGTGGCTTTCCTGGGGTCTCATCCTGACCAGTGCAGAGCTGTCTGGAGTTCCCACTGAGCTCCAGCACCTCCTTGTGGAGACAGCAAATGTCTCCCTTGTCCCTCAGCAGATTCCTTTTTGCTGCTCTCTGTCCTCTCTTGGTGCTCAAGGGGTGCTGGGGCAAGACAAATCCTACAGGATGGCCACCAGCATCCTGGGAAAGCAGGGATGTGCAGCTGGTGCAGGCAGACAACTAGTGATTACTGTTGCTCACAGGGGATAGAAGAAACATTGCAGGAGAAGCATGGACAAAGTTGCTCAGCTGCACAGCTAAAATCCCCTGACACTTAGGAACAGCTGCAATGAGCACAGAAGGAGACAAAAACCCCTGCTGGAGAGGGCTGTGCTTCTCTGCACAGGAAGCTCTGGATGCACTCACAGAGGGTGTCCCACGCACTTTGATATTGATGGCTCAAGGGAGAGGTGAAGAGGATTATTCCTAGTGGTAACAGATCTCCTTCTCTTTGGTAGCTCCACTCCTGAAGACATTCAGCTTCTTGGGCTTCGAGATCGTGCGGCCCGGCCATCCCGCTGTCCCGTCGCGGCCCGACGTGATGTTCATGGTGTACCCCCTGGAGCAGAGCTCTTCCTCCGATGAAGAATAGCTGCAGAGGGGAACTCCAGTGGGACCCTAACATGCTGTGGAGGGGAGAGAGGACCACCTCCTGTCCTGAGGAGAGGGAAGCAGAGCTTCTGTTGGACTGCAAGCGCATTTCTCATTGTTAGATTGGGCTGTGTATCCCCAGAGTTGACTCTCATTGAAACATGTTGCCTAGAGAACTATCTATCACACATGTAATCATCACTAGGAAAAGGAAGATGTTTATGAACTGGCATAGGAGCTCTTCCCATGCAGCTGCATGGTGTGGGAGCCCCGGGGTCGGTACCACCTTCGGGACTCCTCTGAACCCCACTGGTGCCTCCTGCCTGCCCAGCGTGGGCTCAGCTGGGACACGACCCCTTCACTCCCCGCTCAAGACCTTACAAGCAGCCTGGCTTGGTGTGGGGCACGTGCAGGAGACACTCAAGTTTATCCTTTAACACTACATTAAACCCCCATACATCTCCACTCCAATGCTGGTTTAACTGGTCTAACCTTTTTTTTCCCCTTTTTTTTTGAAACTTCTTGCTCTTCCAGCTTTTGTTTTATGCAGTCTTAACCCTGTTCCATGTTCCCACTACACTATCACAGCATTCAATAAAAGGGGCATTCAGATGACTTCACACACCTGGCGCTGCTTATTTGGGCGGAGCAGTTTTCTGACCTGCACCATGATGGTCGGGATGGTCCAAAGAGCCAAGAAAAGCTCCTGCCTTTACCATCCACCCTAGGATGGGTCTGGAACAACCCCAAGCCCTCACCTCTGCTCCTGCTCACCTTCCCACAGGGACAAACTCAAGGCTTGAGATGCCACCAATGGCTGTATCCAAAGGGTTGTGTGGGGGCAGGTGCTGGGATATTCTCCCCATCCAGGGCCTTTTCTGGGAAGGGGCCATGGTGCCAGCAGTGGGTCATGGCTCAGCCCAGCCCTGTCCCTGTCCCGTGGCACTGTCCCTGTATCCTGGCTGGCTCTGTCTGGCAGGCCCCAGGGAAGGTGGATGTGCCCCAGCTCTTCCTGGCCTGGCTCACTGTGGGATTGTTCCTGTTGTGCTCTTGCTCTTCATGGATGATTCTGTTGGGAAGCTGGACCTGAGTCCTTCCATATCCACCTTGTGTGCTTGGCTAGGGAGAGTGGGGCTGGGATATGAGTGTATGTGAATAACTAATCATAAATTTGGGTCTCTTTTGACCTCCTTCACCTCCATGAAACCAAGAGGGAAAGGAGCTCTGCTCCCTCCAGCAGGGCATTAGACCCTCTACCAGTTTAAAATCAACCAGGCTGTCCTCTGAAAGAGGAGCCCTTGGGAATGGGTGTTCCCTGGCTGAAATTGCTGAGTGCTGCTGCTGCCTTGAGAAGGGTGCAGTTTTATCCCTTCTCGTAGCTAGAGCTGCCCTGACTCTGGCTGGGGACTGGCAGGTGCCTCCTGGGTGTCCCTGCATGTGCCAGTGTCTGGCTGCCACCCCATGGTGTCCCAGGCTGGCACATCCCAGCTGATGAGATGGGAACCACTTTGCTTCTTATTGGTAAAACTGACTGGAACATGTAGGGTTCTGGTCACAGGAGCTGGAGTCAGACTGATCTGAGCTCTTTGTTGTGCTGGAGATAGGAGGCTGTGCCACTGCATGTGGCTTCTCTGACAATTTCAAATCCTCTCCTGCCCTCCTCAAGTAAAGGAGGGAAAATGTGCATTTCTCAGATTGCAAAATGCCTTCCAAAACACCCTCTAGAAAATCTGGAAGGTGCCTCTGATGTCCCTGGGTGCTGCCTCTCACATGGATCACCTCCATGGCAAAGCTGGAGGAGCCAAACCCTGCCTTGTGCCTGCCCTGTGCCTCCTGCACCTCCTGTACCCTGATGCCATGGTGTAGGGCAGGGCCTTGGTGTCCAGGGGTTCAGTCCTGAGGGGTTCTGCCTCCAATTACCAGGTCTGAGCTCAGCTGCAGCACTCACCAGAGCCATGAGTGCTGGGGCAGAGGTGGATCCAGGGGTCAATGAGCACCAGGAGCCTTCTCAGATGCCCAGTATGAGGAAACCCCCTCGCCCACCCCCAAAAATAACTGGCCAGACTCTTTAGGGATAAAGGACCAGACTTGGGGGAACAGCAAGAAAAAGCCACCCTCACAGGTTTGTGATTGTCTCTTAAAAAGATTTATTCTCCCTCCTTGCCTAAATGTACAAAGGCAAGAAGAGTACAGTTTGTATATATATATATTTATATATATATATATATAAAAAAACAAGGAACTTGGTAATAATGTACACTTTACAGAAGGGCAGAGTCAGGAAGACTGAAATGAAACCCAACACAGCAACGCCAATGGAAACGAGCTATAAACACCAACGGTCTGACACCGGGGCTGGGGGTGGCCCCGTGGGCAGCAGCTGGCCCAGAGAACCCGGAAAATGTCAAACCTCAAACCTATTCTGCATAAACTGTTGTTTCATTTAACACCTAAAGGGAGACTCAACTGGGACCCAACTGGGAAGGTGGGGAGCAGCCCCCCGAGCCCCTCCGACTGCCAGCCAAGCCTGCGGCACCCCCCAACACCCGCAGGCACTTCCTCTGCGCCGCTGGAGCCGCTGTGGGCCCCGGCCGTGCTGGGAGCCCGGCTGTGCCGGGCCGGCCGAGGCTGGAGGTAGGAGCAGCCAGCGGGACACTCCTCCACGGGTGGGATGTGGGGCTCTCCAAAGCACCCCGACCCCGCCAGTCCCCAGACCCGTGGCTGTATGTGGCTCTGTGACGGGTGTGGGGTGGGTCCATCAACCCACCTTGTCCCTGCGGAGTGTGCCGTGCCACGCGGCCCCGTCTCCTTCCAAACACAACAAAGAGTGGAAGAAAAATGAGTCAGACAACAAGAGCAGGCTGGGGCCACTGTGCTGCCAGCACCTGAACCGGGCCGAGAGCAGCCAGCACCGCCTTTCCAACTGGGTACAGTGGGATGGGGAAGAAAAGGGGTAAGAAAACAAAACCCAAAACAACAGCTTTCAAACAATTGCTTTTTACAGTATGTACAGAGCCCAGCAGGCAGAGCATCCCCGTACAGCGGCCCTCGGGGCCGGGTGCGACACGGACACACACAACTGAGACCGATGGCCCCCATGCCCCCCGGCCGGGCAGCGGGAGAGGCGGGGACACAGCAGGGGCGGCCCGGCCGCTGCGGGGCCGAGGTAGAGTGTCGGCCTGGGGTGAGCCGCTCTGGGGCTGGGGGCAGAGGACCAGAAAGCCCCTGTCCTCAGAGCTGGGAGCAGCCAGGAGTGGGGACCATCTTCCTCCAGGAGCTGGTGCCCCCAGCCCTGGTACGAGGCTGGAGCGGGGACCGGCATGGCCCCACATGCCTCTGGCAGAACCTAAGTGTGCTTGTTTCTTGCTGCGCCCTGCCTGCGGCCTGGGGAAGCTGCCCTAAAAGCAAAAGGTGGATGAAAAGAGGAGCCACAGCCCCCCACAGCAGGATGTGCTGTCCCAGGGTTTGTGGGGCACTTGCCGTGACAGTGGGGCAGAGAAAAGGCTGGGATCTGCAGAGCTGCAGCTCCCAAACCAAAGCAAAAGCCACAGGCAGGAGCTTCAGGCAGGTCTGGACCGTGCACAGCCTGGGGGGCCCTGGCAGCCTGTGGGGTGACAGACACAGCCCCCAGCTCTGTCCCCTGCTGCCCCCAGCCCCACGGAGCCCCAGCCCCCAAGGGCAGAGGCTGCTTTGCTGGGGCCAAGAGCTTCCCCAGCCCCACTCTGGCCATTGGCCACGTGCTGGCGGCTCCTGCCCACAGGCAGAGTTGTGGGTGCTGTGGGGTGCAGGACCAGATGAGGGACTGGGAGAGCCCCACAGCTGCCTCCAGCCAGGCTGCCACCCACCCGCCTGGCTCATACCAGCCCCCTGACACCGGCCAAGGCTCTGTGAGCCAGTCCTTCCTTCCTTTCCTGAGACTGTGGCCACACGGCAGGCTCGGCCCCATGTTCCAAGTCCCCGCCTGCCCCCAGTCCTATCGTGAAGCAGCAGCTCACAGAGACACGGCAGGGTCCCAAATTCATCAAGAAACCTCAGTGCTTCTGTTTCCTCTTCATATGCACCAGGCAGGTGAGTCGCCTCCACCCCAAGTGCTGGTGCTCAGTAGAATAAATATATCCGCAGGTACCAGCTCACCCACTCCCCAAAGAGGGGTGGGGTGGGGAGTCAGTGTGTGTCCGACGAGGGGAGAAGACAGAGTCTGCCTCAGATCACGGCAGGAACGTCAAGCAGTACAATTAACACCATTCAACTGATGTCTAAAGGAGTCTCCAGCACTTCTCCATGTGAGCCAGTCACACGTCTTGTACAGCCCAGGCATCCCGGTGTGTCACATCCTGCCACGACCCAAGGGCAAGTCAGCTCCCACGAGCCCCAACAGCCATGGGCAAACCCTAAACCCTCGAGGGCATCCCGTGAGCGCCCAGCCCGGGGCCGCGCACGTGGAGGTGCGGCAGGAGCGGAGCCTTACCGTTCTCACCTCCGGGGAGGCGGGTAGAGGGAGGGAGCGGAGCCTTGCTGGCTGGCAACGATGGCTGTGGAGGAGAGACCTGCCGGGGAGAAGAGGTGTCAGGAGCTGGTAGGCAGGGCCCTCGGGGACAGTGTGAGGGTCCCGTGGCCCAAGGGCAGGTGCAGCTCCCCCCCCAGCCCGGCCCCACTCTCACCTGTTGCATAGGGCAGGTTGTACTGTGCTGGCAGCAGTGAGTACCCGAGGTGGTGGTGGTGGTGATGCGTGGAGAGCAGGCGCTGCGAGGGCGACGTGCGGGGCCGGTCGCCGCTCCTCTCCCCCGCAGCCGCTCCCCCGACGCTGCTGCAGCTGCCGCCGCCCCCCACCACCCCACAGCCACTGCGGTCCCGCTCCTGAGACGTCTTCTCGCTTATCTGGAGACGAGAAAGCAGACACGTGCTGAGGGACATGACCAACAACCCTGGGGCACATATTGGGATGTTCCCTCTGCCTTTGCCCAAAAGGTTCCCACCCAAAATGGGGTGGGATGGCCAAAAGCCATGTGGAGGACATAGGGCCTGTTTGAGGACCACTCTTTCCTCGCTGTGTCCAAGCTCTGTCTCCCAGCTCAGCCCAGGAGAAGCCACGGGATGGAGACAGCTCCCACATCCCACCTGCCAGCTCCAGGGCTGAGGACAAGTGTCACCTGGTTGCTGCAACACCTGGTGATGCCCCAGCACTGGGGCACAGGTTTGGTTGGTCCATCCCAAAGGATTTGTAATGTTGGAATCCATGGCTGCAGGTCCCCCACAGCAAGCAGAAACAGCAAATCCACATGACAAACGGAGCTGCTCCCACCTCATTATAGGATCTAGGGACTATCCCACAGAGCTGGGAGAAGCCAGCGTCCTGCTGATGCTCACCGTGGGTGATTTGCTCTTGTAGTGGCTGGCATGCTGCTGCAGGATGTCCAGGGCCTTGGACTCTGAGCTGGATTTACAGCTCACACTGGGGCTGGCTCGGGACTTGTCACTGTCATCACTGCCGGATGCCTTGCTCCCATACGGAGAGAAGGAATAGCTGGAGGGTAGGTATGATCCTGGGGGAACAAGAGCAGTCAGGGCACCCAGAGTATTCCAGCACAGTGGGAGCATGTGGCTCTGTATGTGTG